ATTTTCTCCTGCAGTTGGATATTTTGATGGACAGAGGCTAAAATTGGGATGTTTAGCAAGAGCCTTAGACACAGAATTGCCACCCGATACTTCAGATGTCCAATGTAGGCAGCGTGCGCGTATCTACCTCTTACTGATATTAGGTGAACATTTATTGTCCGATAAATCCGGCAACAAAGTCCCTTTGTTGTATCTTCCATTACTGTGGGATTTGGAAACTGTTGGGCAATATAGTTGGGGTATTGCATGTTTGGCGACTCTCTATCGATCACTTTGTGATGCCACGAACTTGCTAAATCGGCTATTGCCGGTCCATTAGTTTTGCTACAGGTACATTGCACCCAATAATGATATGTCTTGGATTTTTTGCATATTATCATTTTGCAATTTTAACATTGATTCTAATTTTCTAACAGGTCTGGATTTGGGAACATATACCAACCATGCGTCCGGACCGAATCGCGCCGTTGGAGCATTACCCTGGTCCATATGGAATTAGATGCGCATTTCGCCCTTATTTCGGTTGTTTTAATGACATTTGTTATCGAAACAACTTTAATTTGTTATAAACAGGTTCCTACTTTATTAAATATATGTGGAATAATGACTTGGACGTACACAGAGTTGTTAGGCATGTTGTGCCCGCATTTCGAGATCAGTTGACAGACCTGCGTCCTAAAGAGATATTGTACATATGTCCGGACAATAGAAATATTTAAAAGTTGTGCCAGTAGTCTTGTCATAATATTTTTTGTCAACTAAAAGTATAAGTTTGTCAGATTGCATTTTGTGAATGGAAATTGAGTTTGTTGGCAGGAAGTTAACCTCCAGGTATAGGGGAGACTCTGCTGAAATTTTTTTAGAAATTCAAAAAATTTTTAATTGACCAGAGACTAGCACTTTTTTCATGAAATGGTCCAATTTGAATATTAGGAAGCTTTATTATTTCTTAATAGAAAAAATGAAACAATTTTGATTTTATATTTTTTTCAGTTCATATGGCAGCCATATTCGGAGGACGTTCTCGCTTCTCTTCCTACGTATTGTACTGCAGGTCGGGACATTTGGAGGTCCGTAACGTATCTTATTTGTTGGGATGTAGATGAGCCGCACCTCCCTCATCAGGTTATGCAACAATTTGGGCTTCATCAGTTCTTGCCTGATATGAGGTTGACAGATAATCAGGCAGCTCTACATTCTCCAGATCGTCGTGGTGGGGTAAATCAAGACTGGAGCACCACGCATAGACAATATATTGATATTTGGACTGATCGACGTGTGAATGTACAAGATGGCACTGTAATTGAAAATACTACATATCCATCGAATGAGTATGTTTAGTGGTATCGACAGCGGACGGTGATTTATATTTCAAATCCAAGTCGATTTTCCGCTTTTCCAGAGAGCTTTCAGGGTGATAGCATTAGGGCACAATATCTTGTAAGTTTATTTCCAACCCACTTTTAATAATCACTTTGAGTTTGCTCACTTTTTTAACTATTTTTTACCACAGTATCTCTTTCTTATTCTTATATTTGTTTCTCCAGAGCGATGCCATGTCTCGCATATATTTCATGGCACAGGACTATCTTGCAGTTAGTGATGAACAACACAGCAGATATTTTCAAGAGTTGAGAGATTTTGCATCCACATCTTTACATCATGTATGAGAGTCACGCCGACTTGCATTTCGCCCTCCACACGTACTACAGGAGATTCCACTATATGCTGATCCGTGTCGTGTTCAGCGAACTCCTAGAAATACCCACGGAAGTCAATATGGCGATGGACGACGTCGTAGACTCCGATCACTAGAACCCGTCATACAAACTGGATTCCATGGAGGTTCACTGACTACTGAGGACCAAGCTGGCGCATCTACTTTTGTCACACCTCAGACCGAAGTCATGCATGAGAGAGGTGTATCGATTGGGCATTCTAGATCCTTTATGACTTTTCCAGAGTTTACGCCCGATAGGGATTCACATCAGCATACTTCTGAGCAATGTGAAAGAGGTGAAGGCACAAGCACTCAAATTCAAGATGCTACACTGTTGACATATATTACTCAAGTCCATACAGTAGTGCCAAACCAACCACGTCGAAACCAAAGAATACCTAAACCAATAACATGTGGTACTCATGGAAAACTTGGGTAGTATTGATGGCACGCTACTTATATCGTTATTGTATAAATAACCTAACTTATGGATTACATACCTTTTTTGTGACATTTTGTATATATTCTAAAATTTCACGAATATGAGTGGAACAATGCCATCACGCGTATCTTAATTTTCACTTTATATGAGTACTCTTTTAAACAAAACCAAAAATGTAGGATAAAATTACAAAAAAATACTTTTTTTCCCATGAACAGAATAAATATAAAAAAGGTAAACTATACTAACCTCTCCTCTAGTTCATACACGGTAAGTTAGTTACATGTCGGAACTTCACAAAAAAAAAAATTAAACATACTATTTATAATATATTTATATATTGTTATTTTTTATCTTTTGTTATTCATAGTTTCCCCATTAAATATAGGGAACAAACTTTAATATTCTCATATGGGCAAGTTAAAAATAAGATTCCAATTTTGTTCATGAAAATTAAGCCCTAACTTATTAACAATTTTATTTTATTTTATATTGACCTTGAAAATAAAGAAGCAAGATGTGTAGTTATTTCGTTAAAATAATTGTATTATAATAAAATTAGGTATTTCCAACCGTAATCTGCCTCTATGCATGTACAGTTATTTATATAAAAAGAATTAAATTGAATATAATTTTGTGAGAGCTCATATTTGCGAACTTCAAACTCATGCAAGTTTTAAAAAGAAACGGATATATTCCTCAACTAATAATAAGTTTTTAAATAAGATATCTCTTACAACTAGCTTTTTATAAATGTCGATGCAAAAAACATAAATTATAATATCAGCTACTGACTACATTAGAGATAGCACTCAAGGTTTGAGGCTTTTAGGATTCAGGGTTTTAGGGTTTTAGAGATCAAGATTTAGTGTTTTAGGAGAATAGCACTTTCAGGTTTAGGGTTGTAGGATTTTAGTTTGACAATAGTGTGCCTTGATTAGGACTTTAGATTTTTAATTAAAATAGTAATCCTATCATGCCGCAAAAATATTTTTTAATGGATTTTAATAAACCCAACAACCTTGATTTAATGTTTTAGGGTTTACAAGGATTTGGTTTCTAAGATTTACGATTTAGTATTTTACGGCTTTAGCACTTAGGGTTTTAGGATTTTTGCATGACAATAAATTTGCCTTGATTATCGCTTTATATTTTTAATCAGAATAGTAATCCTGGCAATAATTGTAAAAGGTAAAACACGCAAGATTTAATCGCTAGATATTTGATTTAATTTTTTTTCTTTTCCTTTTCAACTACCAAACAAATAACATGCACTTCATAAAAATAACTTATATAATTTTTTTAAATACCATTGCGTTATGGAATTTCTAAAATTACAGTTGAAATTGTAACAGATATTAATGACTATTAATTATTAGATTCTTATAACTAATATTCATCGGTGTCAACAAATAAATACGATTCATTAATAATAAAGGAAAATTAGAATTTGATAAAAAAAAATTATTTGATAAAAAAGGAAAAAAAGTTAGTATTTTATTCATAACATATAGTCAACACCTTACATGTTAACAATTTCATTCTATTTTTACATTGATCTATGAAATAGAAAGAACTATGCATGTGTACTTTTTCCACCATTTAAATGTATTATAATAAAATAACGTATTTTCAACCGTACAATTACCAATTTTTTTTAATATAAAAGAAATATGCATGTATAGTAAATTATATTAAAAAGATTATTATGAATATGATTTTTTTTAGAGCACATATTTGATGACTTTAGGCATGTGCAAGTTTTAAAATAAAAAAAATTTATTCCTCTGCTAATTACAGATTTTTGAATAAAATTTCTCTAACATTTCTCCGAAATATAAGATTTTAGTAGAGATTTTAAAATAAGATTTTACTACCGACAGCATTTTAGTAAAAGCAAATTCTACAAAACAAACAACATTTACATTTAATTTTACATTTTTTTTTGGAGCTCGTAAATTTCATTTTAATTTTTTTTCTAGCAAGTTTGAATTTAATTTTCTGAAAGTCATACTTATAAATGCGAAATCTAACAAAAAATTAAATACAATTTTTGGAGGTCAAATTTATCAAATGCGAGCTATTTGAAAAAATTTTTTAAAAAAACATTTAGAAGCTCGCATTTAGCTCTTACTATTTTCTGGAAAAAATTCTCTAACTCCCAAAAAAAAGCAAAAAAAATTAAATTATACTTAGTGTGGGAGCTCTATTGACCTCCGAAAAAAATTTTTTTTTAAGGAATGCGAACGCGAATGCGAGATCTTTAAACATTTTGTTTTAATACAAAAAAATCTCTGCCTCCGAAAAAAAATAAGCACAAAAATTTTACTTATACTTGAGCTCTGAGCTCGCATTCCGCAAATGCGAAGACCCTCCGACGGATTCCCTCACCAAAATCACCCGTTTTGTAGAATTTTTTTAAAATTCATCACAAATTTGGAAATTTCTCCTTGTTAACATGAAATTTTGTGAATATTATGAACCGCAAAACTCGAAGTGGTGACACTTTTAAGTGTCAATACATCATATTGCATTAGCCCTGTATCCCATCCGAGGTTTTATACCCAAAAGCAGAATCACATTTCATCCCGCCTACACAATATAGATTCTAATTTTTGGACTAATAAAGTTATTACTACCACCTTATAAAGGAAAACCAAGGCGATTTACATTTTCATAGTAATTACTGCAATACAAGTAGCCAAAATGGTGCAAAAGTACTACATCCAAGCAACTAACATTGCTGCTATGTCAACAAATTACATGTCAATTCAGAGATTTTTCAAAAGTTATGAGTATTACAGTAGCATTGCCAATACATATCAAAGAAGCAATAGTTCAACAAGAATTCAACAAAAAACGCATTGACAATGTCTTCAAAAAATAGCCATTTGACCCAAGGACGATCCTTGAGTTTTCTTCAAGAATCACCTACAAGTGTCATAAACTAAGAAATAGAAGTTACAATCACATCTACAGCTCTTCTTTTACAGTTTTAATGTTAGAAAATAAATAAAAACTAAGTTAACCAAATGATAAAGATAAGATAAAAAGATTACCAGATTTATTGGCCAAGCAATAGCTACTCCAATTGCATCTTCAATCTTGAGAAAATTATGGTATGGTCTCATTAGCTCTTCATCATTCTCCACAGGCACATTCACATGAACTTCACACCAATGTGATCCCAAAGGTATGTCACCAACTTCAGCAGTTGGATCCAAATTTCTAACCACTCCAACAGCACAAATTTTGGACGAATCAACCATGCTTCTTATTGTAACTTTATCCCCAACCTTGAAAACAAATTTTATAAAACATATAATCACATATAAAAGAGCAAGTCTTGAACAGATATTCAATACACAGTACCACAAGAACCAACCCAAAATGACAGCCACAACAAACACCAAAACCAAAGTGCAGTCCATTACAATCAATAATGATATCCAAAACAAGAATCTCAACAATTAACATATAGCAATTACAAACATGTTCATGAAAACCATTTGTGAACGCAGCATCTAAAGAAGGTCATAATTGAACTGTTTATTACTTTTATTGGCCGAGAAATAGCATTTGATGACTGTGAAGTATGTCTTTGCGAAGATGGACAAATTTGTCCTTGTGATTTTCCTTGTTGAATTGATTCTAGTTGATGAATTCTTCGCTCTATTTTTGACATTGCAGCGCTTTGTTCCATAACCAAGCGAAAACATGTTGAACGACTTGGTATATCGCCCCACAAATCAGATTGTGTAACTCCTAAACCATATGTATGAACTCTTCCACTCCTTTCTTCACCCATTACTTTTGCATACACGTCATTCCTACCCACACTATCTTCTTCTCCTTCTGGAAGTTGATTTTTTAAGCTTTTCATCTCCTCCTAAATTTAACAATTCAAAGTTACTACATTCTCGTTCTTATTGTAACAGAAAAAGCCTGTTATGAATGAAGTAAATAAGCAGCAACAACATACCATTTTTCCCCAACTTCATAACTAGATGGCACTCCATTAGAATTAGTGTAGCATATGATGAACATATCTACTCTAGAGAGAGAATGCCCAACCTCTTTTTCCTACATATAATAGTACATCCCAAGAATATATCAAAATGAAAAATTAGATGTTGTTACCAATTTATATATTATACCTTTTCTACTCGAACTTGAGCAAATGGCTTTTTCCCTGTACTATGATTCATCTTTTTCTTCTCTCGGTGCTCCTTATTTGTTGCAGATATTCTCTACATAGTTAAACATAACAAAAAATAGTTAAGTATAGGCAAACAGAAAAAATGATCACGACTATGAGAGCATTTCATACCTTTGACTCTTCGGAAAGCCATTTAGTCAAAATATTTCTCCATTGCTGTGGAAGAACTCGTTTTGGTCTTTTAAGCACTTGACTTTCAATTGACTCATTTGGATTGAAATAAGTTTTCTTGAGAGCATGCTTCCAACTTCTCCATTTCTTTCCTACTGATTGCTTAACTCGTTCTTTTATGCCAACAGGGAGATCAAATATTTCCTGTAATATTGAACACTCAATTAAAAGAGAACAAGCATTCAACTAATGTAGTAGGTTCAAGAAATGGTTACTTTTACTACATCTATCATGTCATTCTTTAAAGACTTGGGAACTTTACGCCAACTATCAATGTCAATTGGTGCATATTATCCAATTCTTGCCAATGCTCCCAAAAATTCATTGAATTTGCTTCTATTTGTACCAACTGGCTCACCAAGTGTATTGAATTTCACTTTAATTCGGTTCTCAGTACCATGTCTACCCCAAATGTGTCTCATATAAATTGGTCCCCAAGTTTTCTTAGGCTCTTGATCATCATCAGAACCACCACCTGCAAGTATAATAGACAATTATGACATATCTTATGAAATAGAAACTATTGTTATAGATTATATCTAACTGAAATATTAAGTAATTAGTAATTAATAACATACCAGTGCCTTCCTCATTTTCCAAATTTTCAGGATCTTCATCACGCAATTGAAAGCTCCTTGATCCTCGATAGCTTTTTCCTCCTATTGTTCTCGCCATATTTGTACAACTACAATTTTAAATTCATAACAGAAAGTGTACGGCTAATAGCATATTAACATGTAATAAACAGCAAAGCATAAAAAATTTAAGCATGTAGATACACCACAATTCAATACATAAAAAGCAACCAAATTAACTGGACATTAAAGCAAAATCAAAAGATAACATTCATTTAATTTATATAAGATACCAAAAGATCATTCCTTGGAACTAAATGCCACTCTAGTAGTATCAACTATTTCTCCTATGACACCTTCTCGAACCCAATTAATATCATCAAATGTATCTCTTTGATGACTACTTGAAGGCTGACTTTGCAAGTACATCTCAACATCTATGGGATCCATCTTCAAATCATCTCGTGGTATAGTTGGAATAACAACATTCCACCCCTTATCCAAAGGATCCTCCACGTAAAATACTTGTTTCACTTGAGATGCAAGAACGAAGGGTTCATGGTGGCGCTTCACATTCATAAAATTCACAAGTGTAAACCCATCATCATCTTGTTTCAATCGTTTCCCCTTAGAGACCCAATCACAGTCAAACAAAACCACTCTTCGACCTCCACCATAGTCCAATTCCAGAATATCCTTTAAGACACCATAATAGGCCAAGTCACTTGAAACCAGATTCATATCCTTGGTGCTTGCGAAACTTGATGTTATTGCAGTAACAATCACCCCACTATTCTGATTTTTTCTTTTGCTCTCCAAATATTTTGTATGAAATCTAAAACCATTCACAATGTATCTCTCATACTTCGAACCCACAACATTTGGACCTTTGGCCAATAATCTCAAATCTTTTGAGATAACTTCATTCTCGGGTAGAAAATCATCCACCTATGCAAAATAAAAAAGTAAATTAATAAAATAATTGTACAAAATTTGGACAGCTAAAAGTACAGTGATACTTTGTATATTAACTCACATGGTTGTCAAACCAATTTGCAAATGTCTCGCTATGAATCCGTTCCTTTTCATGTTTTGAACTACGCAAATGCTGCTCTTCAACCAATTTACGATGTTGGCTTCATCAATTATAATAGTCAATCAACATAGTTGTCTATATACATCTATCATTATTAAAAGATGATTAGTTTTATAAAACAAGTATAGATTACAATTACTTACTTGATATATGGATCCATGGCTTCACAATTGAATATCACATATTGATGTGCCTTTTTTATGGTTTCATCATCCATTGCAACTGAATTTCCTTTTCCTAATGGCCGACCTTGTATAGAAAAAATCTCAAGTCCTTCAGTTGAACTTTCACCTCCATCTTCATTTCTACTTGATCGATTGAACTTAGTTGTCACTTCATTAGATAAGTAGAGAGAGCAAAATGTCAAGCACTTATCAACTAGATACCCCTCTGCAATTGAACCTTCAGGCCGACTTCTATTTCGGACATAATTTTTCAAAGTGCATAGGTACCTAAGAAAATTACAAATGTAGTAAGTGATTAATAATGATACTCACATAGCAATAAAATAGAAATTATAAAGTTATAAAAGTTACCTTTCAATCGGATACATCCAACGATAATGTACTGGACTAGCTATCCTTGCTTCGGTTGCTAAATGAGTGGTCAAATGCACCATTATAACAAAAAAAGACGGTGGAAACACGCGCTCTAACTGGCATAGTACAACAGCAATTTCCTTTTCCATACGAAGCAGTTCCCGAGGACAAAAAGTTTTACAACATAAATCTCTAAAGTATTTGGACAACTTTATCAACGGAGACCGCACCGATTTTGGAAGAAGTTTTCTATAACATAGTGGTAATAGTTGCTGCAATAATATGTGATTGTCATGACTCTTAAGTCCGGTTAGTTTGGGAGGTTTCAAATGCACGGACTTTGAAATTGTGGCTGAATAAGCGTCTGGTACTTTAACCTTTTTCAGAATTTTACAGAATAACTCGTTCTCCTTCTTATCCAAATAGAAACATGCTGGAGGCAAGTATGCTCTCCCAAACTCATCTGTAATAGGATGAAGACCTGCTCATATGCCCATTTCTTCCAAATCACGTCGTGCACCAAGGTTATCATACTTGCTATCCACATTCAATAATGTTCTAACTATTGTCTCACATACATTTTTTTCAATATGCATGACATCAAGACCATAACGTAACAAATTGTTCTTCCAATATGGCAAGTAAAAAAAAATGCTTTGTTTCTTCCAGTTAAAGGGTAATTCAGGGTTATCATTGACTGCCTTCCCAAATTTGATTTTATAAGACCTCAACTCCTCCTAGATCATATCACCTGTCAAGCGAGCTGGTGCAACTCCATGTTCTTCCTTTCTATCAAAGTGACGTTTATCTTTTCGATATGGATGCTCCTTTTCCAGAAATCGCCGATGACCCATGTAACATTGTTTTGAACCATGTCTTAAATGGTGTGAAACGGTGTGCTTATGACATACTGGACATGCTAAATAACCTTTAGTACTCCAACTAGATAAATTAGCATAACCAGGAAAATCACTAATGGTCCAAAGTAAAGCAGGATGCATTTGAAAATTTTCCTTTGATGATGCATCATAAGTAGTCATACCTACATCCCACAATTCCTTCAACTCAGCTATAAGAGCTTGAAGGTAAACATCAATGTTATTCCCAGGTGCACATGGGCCAGGAATGAGTAGTGACAACATAAAGTATGGTTGTTTCATGCACATCCATGGTGGCAAATTATAAGGCATCAGTACTACCGGCCATGTACTATGGTTCACATTCATAGATTTAAATGGATTAAATCCATCAAAAGCTAAACCCAATATGATATTACGAGAATCTTTTGCAAATTCGGGATTTTGGTAATCAAATGATTGCCAAATCGGAGTATCTGCAGGATGTCTCATGCGACCATCCTTAGTACGACCCTCGACATGCCATTTCATGAAAGATGTTGTTTTAGATGACATGAACAGACGCTGCAATCTTAAGTGGAAAGTGCCACAAAACCTTGTGGGGAACCTTTCTTTTTTCACCAGTAGGATCATCCTTTGTTCCTTCCCACCGTAGATGCTTACAAGTGTCACATTTTATCTTTGATTCATCTTTTCCCCAATACAATGTGCAATCATTAGGACATGCATCATATTTTTCGTATCCAAGTCCTAGTTCTTTCATTATTTTTTTTGCTTCATAATAAGAATTTGGTAGATTTACACCTTCTGGGAGTGCTTGCCTCAACAAATCAAGAAGTGTATTAAATACAGAATCGGGCATTTTGCTGAGACATTTAATATGTAACAAGCGGACCAGAAAAGATAGTTTAGAGAATTGCGGGCAATCTGGATAAAGGGGCTGCTTCGAATCATTTATTAAATTGTAGAATTTTTCTGCCTCAATATTCGGCTGTTCTGGTTCTAATCTTTCTCCCACATCTAGGTTCTGGTTTAGAACTCCTACTGCATCTTGTAACAACCCCTGCATATCATCTATGGGATTGAGTGGTGGAACTTCATTTGATGAGCCATGTGAAGATGTATGATGCAAATTCGAAGATAGCTCTCCATGAGCTAACCATTGAGTATATCCCTTAATAAATCCTTTCCATATCAAGTGTGATTTGGCCTGCTCTCTCGTGACAAATACCCCATTCCCACACCTAATGCATGGGCATAAAATCATCTCCCCTATACTTCCATTCGTAAATGCAAAATCAAGAAAATCTTCTAAACCAGCTTTATACTCATCACTTGATCGTGACATACTCATCCATCTTTTATCCATGTTCACATAGATTCTAATTATAAAAAAAAAAAAAAAGCTTCATTAGAAAGCTTCATTAGCATCTACAAGATAGTTCTACCTAAACTATTACTGATTTTTGCATAAAATATTTACTTAGATAAGAAAACTAATTTCAATGAGATTAATAGAAGACACAAATCACTCACGGAATATCTTCTAAAGTAAAGATACCAAAAGTATCAAAACAGAATGTTAGCACCAATCCAAGTGTTCTAGACATTTCAGAACAAAATGTTCACATATCCAAGTGTTCTAGACATTTGAGTAATAAGAACTAATCCAAAAGTATCAAAACAGAATAATATCAAAAGGAAAGACAGCAAAAGTTCAATTCCATATTGTAACACACAAACTATAAAACAAGATGGTAGGCACAAAAGAATAACAGTCTACGGAATTCAAAATTAGTCCAATAATGTAGCCAATATCAATTTGAGATAGAGAACTTTGACAAAATATTAGCAATCAAACTAATCAGCAATAGAAGTTCTACCCAATTGAAAATAACTGTCATGAACTTTAATGTATTGGTAACCTAAGAGTAGCAGAAACTTAATGTATAATTTTGGTTACCAACAACTCCAATTTGCTCAAAGTGGAAAGGGGATCAATGATCCGTGCTCGCTAGATGGAATCGAAGATGATGGCCGCTACAAACTTGAAACTGCATTGATGGAATAAGCTTGACTTAGTAACCACTTTTTTTTAGTCACAAAAAGAATATTATATTATGAAAATGAAGCCTGAAGAGGCAGAACAAAATGATACAACATGATCCCGTATAGTTGTGGTATGCATTAAGCAGAAGAGATGTCAGTACTCAAAAAAAGAAAAAAACATTTACTCGGCACAGATCTTTTTTTTTTTCCGAAACAAAAATACATCTTATGGAGTGGATTCCCAATTATAATGCGTCTGAAAAGGAACAGGCAATGCAGTTTCCTTTTGGAGGAAATAAATAAACCTAAAATGTGAAGGTACGCATGGCTCTTCATAAAACCAGGTGAAGGTGACAATAAAGATTTTACGAAGATGCAGCTACAATGACAATCCTACATCAAAATCTATTTGTGCAATTTGCAGCTCAAAAATTTAAGCACCCTTGTTCTCGATAAGCTTCTCAATCAGATCAGCCGCATCTTGAACAGTCGCAATGTTCTGAGCACTTTCTTCTTCCACACTAATGCTGAACTCCTCCTCAAGCCCCATGACAATCTCAACAGTGTCAAGAGAATCAGCACCCAAAGATGCAAAGTTTGAATGTCCAGCAACTTTAGATTCATCAGGCAGCGCCAACTGCTTCCTCACAATCTTACATACTTTGTCCACTGTCTCTGGTTTGGCAGCGCAGGACGCATGGAAGCGAGCTGGCTGCACGCGTAGAGAAGGGAAACTTTTTCCACTGATAGAGAGCGACACCGAGCCCAATTTAGAGACCCTGTTGACTGCCTGGTTAGGCATGAGTGAGCAAGAGAGGGAGGTGAAGGATCCTGTAATTGAGGCCATGGCTGGATCAAGAGAGAAAAATGGATCTGAAGAGAGGAAGAGAAGGTAGGAAAATTGGGAAAGGAACGAAGTGGCGGAGAGCACGAAGAGTGTGTATAGTTTACTTTGAGCCTCTTCAGCATAGATCAATCTCTCAATTAATTGCTTTTTTTTTTTCTAATTTCAATGAGTTGAAGGATCAAAAAATTTCGAAACAAAAGGGAGGTAACGAAATGGAGAACCCCATTAGGTGGTCTCTGTTTTGCTGGTTATCAGACGAAAGGCGAAAGAATTCTTCAAGGCGAGAGGCCAATCATGCAAATTGTCATCGGCTTTATCGGATTCCCATCCACATCTACTCTTCCTTCCATTTCGTCTTCCCCAAATCCTTAACCCTCCGTCACCCACCTTGCTCCTACCCCATTTCCCATGCGTTCCCGGAGAAGAAATAAAGTAATAAAAAAAGCTATCAATTTTGTTGAAAATGTATAGGTTACCTGGTAGTAATCTTCCTTCAGATGGCGATTTTCAATGAACACCGTAGCTCCACTATTGCTAAAAACCCAAATACCAATTCCCGTTCAAACTCCATGCTGTTGTTGATTATGCTACCTTCTTAAAGGTTTACCTGTTTGTCTTCAAATTGGAGAGAGTTAAAAATTGGGTGGAAGAAAGAGAAAGAAACAAGGGATTCGGTGGTGAGAGGGGTGAAGGATTTAGGTTTTTTACAAAGAGTTTATTTGATTGAGGGTTTTAGGAGAGAGCACTGGGATGAAAAAAGAGTAAAGTACATTGGATTCATTGGAGTAGTTAGAATATTTCCCCCAAAAAAATGGCGCTGAAGTGTAGCGCCATTCTCTTTCCTGCTTTTGTTTTTCATTTTTTACTTCTATTTGGATAAGTTAGGGTGATACGATGTCGTACTCGTCATTTTCTTTGTCACTTTAATGACGTTCCTTACTACATGTTACATTAATTTGCTGTTGTGACACTTTTAGGAAAATATCATATTAAGTGTGTGACTAAAGGTGCCTTTTGTAGTTGTGTAGAAAGGAAAGAGGAAAACCCAAAATTAAAAGAATTGAAAGGCTAAAAAAATTGTATTTTAGGAAAGTGAGTTGAATATTTTTTTAATCATTTAAGGACAAGATAGATCTTTGCAATTCCTCTTTTTAAATTTCAATCATTAAGATGAAGATTTTTGTGGGAAAGGGGAAGAATTAAATAAAGAAGAAAGAGAAAAAGAAATAAAAGAAAGGAAAATAAGGTTAATGAAAAGTCAAAATAATGCAAAGGTTAAGTGAGCAAAATTAAAAATTAGGGGGTAAACTGAGAAATGGGGTATTTTTTAAGGGGATAAAATGTGATTAACCCTTTTTAGAAATTAATTTTCAGTTAATATTCTGTTAATCTTTCTTGACTTTAATCAACTCGAGTAAAATTTGAAAATTTTGAAAGATTGTACAATAGAGGATGCTTTGCCATTCATAATTTGGTGAATTTGATCGTGATTGCTGGTTATTGCAGAAGAGAAGTCAGTCTAGTAATATGAAGCCTAAATTTTGTTAGTGCTGTTGTTGTTTGTTTTACGTGTTACATTATCATGCTTTTGGTTGTTCCAGGCTCCTGATTTGCATGGACAGCAAGTGTCTTTGATGCTTCACCATGATGGACATCTGGGTAGTTTTGAGGGTTCATCTGGTACTGCTATGTCACTGATCACTTCTATGTTATTCCATTGTTTCCTGCATTTGGTGGTTTTGTGCAAAAGTGGTTTCTAAATTTGTTGAAATCCAAGATTATGTCAACGATAATGATGGATGGCATTGTTTTATGTCAATATTGTCATAGGAAAATCGTATGAAGTGGTAAGTTTCAAGTCACAGGAGCCAGAAGCGACTGTATTCCTGTCATCAACATCAGAGTCCAGAATCGGTAATTATCTGTGTATTTAACATGCAATGGCTTCTATTATTGTTGTTATTGGTTGAGTCACGAGTGGCATTTATATTTTATCTGAGAAAAATAATAAATTGACAATCATTGTAAAGTGCATGCTTTTTATATCCAAATGCAGCTCTTTTAGGAGAGAAGTTTCTGGAGAAATATCCATCAAGCTCCCATAATTGGAGTAGGTTCTAAGTTGAACATTGGTTGGCCAAAAAAATATTACGGTCAAAGCAAGTTATGAGTAATTTGAGTTGTTGAAACAGGGAAAGTGAAGATATAGAAACCTATTCCGGTTACCTATTTAAGATGTTGAGTTTGAGTCTATATTAACAAAAGCATGTCCTAAATTACTCTATGGATTTATAATATCACGGGCCTTGTTGCATGCAAAAGTTTCTGTGAAGTTTGACGAAATAGGTATTGCTAGCAGAACCATGTAAAACTAAAACAACAAATCCAATTATGGTTTTGCTCAAATGGTTTATTTAAAGCTAGAGAATCAAAGATCTCACTCCAGATTTTTGTGTGAATGAAATGTAGCTCGATGCTGTTATTGTTTTCAATGACGCAACACTTGATTATGACTTATATGTGGTAACAGCTGGGAAGATCTCACGGCTTGTTTCTCTACTGCATTATCCGGAGCCCAGTGAACTGAAATCTGGTGGGTTAGCCATTAAATAAATAGTGCAAAGGTCTACTGCTTCCTTGACAAGTTCAGCGCATCGTTATACAACTCCTATGCAAAGTACAAGGACAAGAAGTTTAGGGGCTGTGAGTGGCTATACTTCCTCTATACGTACTCCAAGAAACAGAAGTTCTGGGTCCGGGGATGCATCAAAGAGTCCATTGAGAAGACATGTGGATGAGCCAGGTAGGTCGATTGACCATTCTGTCCAAGATTCAGGAAAAGAACATAGAGCTGATGTCTCTTCTAGATCATTAGAACATCCTGAGCAAAAAAAATCGAATAAGAAAAGGAAATCTGAAGGTTGAAGATGTTCTGATTGTTAGAGACGTGGAAGAACTTCAGTTTCAGTTATATGTTGCATTAATCCAAATTTTAACTTTTTCATGGCAACAATTGATCCTTCTTCACAATGTATCCTATTTATATTCCCTACCAATTTTAAGTTTGGATCTGTTCTCCAATGTACATGGAAAACAATGAGCTGAAACAAGAGAAATTTTGATTTGACCATTAAGGTGCTTTCATTGCAACTGCTCAGGAAATGAGTTCAAAACCAATCATTTGATATAAGCATCAAATCCAGAATGCAACTTGGAAGTAACCAAAACGTCAGACATTGCACGGATCATATTGCTCATCCCTTGATGAGTTTGTTGTACAAACCTTGCAGAAATGGTAACAAAGGGCATTGTTATTGGCACAAATAAGTCGTTTGTTTTCCTTACAGTTCTTCTCGGTTCAAAACTAAAGTAAGTGCTAAGTCAAGTAAGGCTCGTAAGCCTTGGTGGGATGGAAGGTCAAGAATTCGAACCTTGCTTTCCACCATCTACCACTATATGTGGCCAGCCACTTTAAAAGTGGTTCCAAACGGGTGCGTAGTGCTCTCGTTTGGACCGGTGATGGTTTAGTCCCCACTGGTTTCCCTTGAGTCTCTTCAGGTCCCCCTTCCCCTCCCCTTCCCCCATAGCATAGAATAACATGTAGGTCTATCGTATCCGGAAAAAAAAAAAAAGAAAAAAAGTGGGAGAACGAGGGATTATCTGCATCAGGTTGACTCCTGTGTAGAAGTTGCGATATCTAGACAAAAAGAACATGTGTCTGTTGTGGTTGGTCCTTTACTCATTGATTGATCCTTTTCCTACATGTGAATTGTACTACTATGCTAATTATCCTTACTTTCTGTAAATGCAGCTCAGTAAAATTGATGCAAGAATTATGCGAGTAATAGCTGCGATGCAACAGTTGGAAGCTAAACTTGAGCCTGCATCTGCTTTTGATTACCGGGCAATCTTAGTACCCCTAGTGAAGTCATATATGCGGGTTTGTTTTGGACTTTCTTACATTCTAGTTGACTCATCTTATGCTTTTGCTCATTTTTTAATTTTGATGGCTTTGTCTTGTTGCCTTTCTTTATGTTCCCTTTTTCCAGGCTCACTTGGAGGATCTTGCGGAGAAAGATGCCACAGAGAAATCTGATGCCGCCAGAGAAGCATTTTTGGCAGAACTTGCTCTTGATTCTAACAAGGGCAGCAGCGGAGGAAGTGATAATGCTCGTCATATGGATGAGAAAACAAAGGATAAGAAAAAGAGCAAGGATTTTCGAAAAGCCAAGGATTCAAAGGTTCGAATTTCGTGTTGAGATATCCCTTTGTGTTACCGCCTTCCTAGTTGGTAGTTTATTGCTCAGCTGGAGCATTTATGGTTGGCAATTTATTCCTTTTCAGGCTAATAGTGGCAGTCAGCTACATATGCTTTCCTCAGAGACTACTAAAGAAATGTATGTTTGTTTTCTAGTCTTTGAGCATGTTAATGTGAATGATCTGAAGTTGATCTTTGTTTTATAAATACGAGTAAGGTTTTGTTGCAGCTCATATCCAGTCGCACACGAGGGAGAAGATATACAGGCTGACATAGTGAATGTTGGAAATGGTGACACCTTAGAACAAGAGGAAGAGGAAGTCAGGCGTAGAATTGAACTTGAAGCTGAGGAGAGAAAGCTAGAAGAAACTTTGGAATATCAAAGGTGTATTGAAAATGAAGCTAAACAGAAGCATCTAGCTGAGCAACATAAGAGAACTGTGGGGATAAATCCAGAAAAAGTTGCAGCAATTGCTCACTCTGATACTTACTTGAAGCAACAGCAAGATGATCATTATGTCAATGTCCAATGGAAATATAGAAAAAAAGTGAGTATTTTATATTTGTAACTCCTGGAATAAAAAATAGATGGATATTTGGTGCCTTTCAGCTTTCTTTCTTCGAGTCATATCTTGTCAAGTGCTGCTTATTGTGTAGTTTGCAGAGGACATTATTGAACAAACTGTAACTTATGACCTGCAACTTTTAGGAACCCATGGTACCATGGTTCGCCGTCGCGGATCTCGGTCGCGTCGCGGTCTCGGTTGTTCCACATCCGTCGCGGCATATCGGATGAATATCGGGTGATACATACATTATAGTATATAAAAATTTTCAAAAAATCTGAAAAATTTACTAAAAATAGAAAATACCATAAAAAGCACAATTATCAACTTAAATTTACTAAATACCTACATTATCATATATAGGTACTAATGATTAAATAAAATAATGCTGTCATTACCATAAAGGCCTATAGCATTAGCAATAAATGATTTTAGAATAAAGTGTACGTTCTGATTCTATTTTATATGAGATAAAAAAGTATATATAAGAATAAAATCATCATATGTTACATAATACAATACAAATCTCGGTACACAAAGGAAGTAGCGGTGTTTAGTTTAATACAATAAAAAAACAAATACCTATCAAATAATATTATGAAGTAGCGGTGTTTAGTTTAATACAATTCAATTTTTTGTTTAACTAACTGCAACCAACTCTTTTTTTTTTTTTACTTTTTCGAATTAATTTGCCTAAAATCATTTTAACCAACATAATTGAGATACATGAAAATAAATAAATTACATTTATGATCATTAAAATGTATCCAAATAATCACTACATATTTTCTAACTAAAATTTAGATAAGAGACTACTAATACAAATTAATCATATACTTAATAATATGTAAAAAATGTCAAAAAGCATTACTTAAATTTACAAATACCTAAATATCATATCTGAATGCTAAATTAAAAAAAATTAAAATTGATAAGTTATTTTGAAAGAAGATGCGGACCTGACTGATGCTTGGGTTTAAGATTAGGAGCCTAATCTCTTAATTACTTGGGCCAAAGCTGGACTTTACATGCTTCTAATTTTTCGTTCAATTTTTTTCCCTATGGCTGGCTTGGTACAAAAGCCCATCTTCTGTTTAGTGCAGCCGCAAGTCCTTCAGTTTGTTTAGTGCACTTGCGGATTCTTCCCTTCGGTTTGTTTAGTGCAGCCGCAAGTCACTGGATTCTTCCTTCAAGTTTAGCCATTTCTTCCTCTGACTCTTCCCTTCATTTTTTTTCCCAATTTCCGTTGATCAGTTTTTTCCCCTCCTTCACGGCCTTCGGTTTGTTTAGTGCAGCCGCAAGTCACTGGATTCTTCCCTTCAAGTTTAGCCATTTCTTCCTCTGACTCTTCCCTTCATTTTTTTTCCCAATTTCCGTTGATCAGTTTTTTCCCCTCCTTCACGGCCAGATAAGGTGGAAATTGAAGAGGCGGCTGTCACCTTTACTCTTTCTTTTGCTTTTCCTTTCCCGCTATTGTTGTCTTCCTCCAACAGCCTGCCGTCACCTCTGTTTTGAGCCGCAGCCGGACGATGAAGAAATTGCAGAACCGATCGGCTTGTTTCTCCAGCCGGCCGTCACCTTTATTCTGGAGTGAACCTCAAAAACTATTGATGGATTGCAGAAATTGCAGAACGATGAAGAAATTGCAGAAATTGCAGAGCGATGAAGAAATTGCAGAAATTGCTGGTATGCTTCTCTTTATCGCCACTTTTTCCTTGTCTTTGTGGCTGCAAAATGAAACAATAAAGCATGGGAAAAGGCTGCAACACCGTGTGGACCACCCCTTGTAATTGTAGTTTTGTTTGGTTTTGTAAAAGGCTCTGCAACAGCCGTAGCTAACTGTGGTGCGATGCCTTGTGTGTCCTTTCAGTGTCGGTTCTTTTTTTGTTTGGTTTTGGCTTCCCAGTTGGTGTGTAAACTTGTTAGCCGGTACATATCCGAGTTGAATCCGAAAAATTGACCGTTATCTTGCTACACGGTGTTAATTCGGACGATATCGACTGATTCGGAGTGATTCAAATCGGATATGGTGTAATTGGCGTTTCGGGTATCGGTATCGGAACGCACCTGCCGTTCCGGTTATGACTCGGCCGAGTCGTCTCGGACTCGGCCGAGTTGGCGAACCCTGCATGGTACAGAGGAGTGGATTTTCAAATGCTATGGACGGTTTTCCAGAAGATGGAGTTGGAGGAGTTGGACAAAAAGCTAGTAACTTTACTTGGCTGTGTAAATGTTAATTTGTTTTTGCAAGGATTTTTAGAATTGGAATGCTTGTAACTTCTTGGAGTTGGCCATGTCTTATAGGCTTGCCCAATGGGGGAAGCTTGGAGGATGGCCTTTTGCCTTCTGATCAACGGTCAGGAAGGAGAAATAGACGGCAAAAATGTGCAGCTAGACTTAACCAGCCCGTGCTATCAGAAAAGGAAAACTTGGAATTGAAACCCTTGGGTGAAGCACATGGTGAGTTCAATATATACATTTCACTTTATAATGAAGACTCTTTTGATGTGTATTATTTTGGAAACAGTTTTAAGTTGAATTTTAGTTTATGATTTGCTGATAAGATCAGTACTCTAATGGGAACTTTAACAACTGTATAAGACTTCAGAATGATTTGAAGACTCTGTTGATCCTAAGTCTTGCGCCCTGTCATAGAATGTGTTCCTTTGATGGTTTTAGGTGAACGATTAAGTATCTACTTTGAATTCATCGTTGTAGCTAATTATTTAGTGAGTCATCAGTTCCACTTATAGTTCATGTTGTATATTTTACCTGTGTAGCATATTAGAATTAGTATAATCTTTTGAACTTTTCATTTTTTTAAGATTTAAAGTCTTGTGCTGTCTATCAAGAATCCATTGCGTGTTTTCCTATCTCTGTGTTTGGAGTGCTGTTATTTGCTTTTAGTATTTTTTTTTTTTGGAGAAATCAAGAATTGCAGTGGGTCACTGATGATTTACGTATACATGCATGTATTTATGTATGTAATTTTATACATGTATGTGATTGTTGTGTTGTTTCTGTCTGTAGTGAACATGCATATATTTGGATTGTTTTTGTCAGAGTCTTCTACAAACAAGTGAGCAATTTTTTTCCTGATACCAATTTTTTTGGACGATGCAGAATGACCTTATTCTTTTCTGAGTACAGCCTCATTCAGCTGGTCTAAAGCTTCCTTTTGCATGTACTATGTTGGAAAATTTGCCCACAAGAATGAATGGGATCTCTTATATGAAAAAGATTAGTTTCCTCATTTTGGAAGATAACTTGGCCTGATTTCTGGCTTTTCCCAAACCTATTTGTTGTGATCATGAACAAAATTTCCTGGCTTAATCAGTACTTGTCTGCAAAATAAAAAAATTACTAAAGGATAAGGTGGTTTGGTGAATTTGGTAATGATTGCAACACAACTAACTTTCTTGGGTTTTGACCCAGGGACTTTGACTAAATTTAGTCTGATCATTACAGATATTTCATCGTGATGTGCTTGCTTGCAAATTCATTGTTATAGTTTCTTATACCTGATGTTTCCATCTTTTTGTGTTTTTAATGCCAGATTCTTTTCACGCGCATCAGAAATTGCCTCTTGCAGCGAAGTTGGGAATGCCACCCAAAACCTTTCCTGCTACAACTGACTCAGTCATTTAAGCTGATGAGATCATGACTGAAACATTAGATCAGATGAATGTATATGGTACAGGGTTAAAGAATGAAATTGGCGAATACAATTGCTTTTTAAAGGTCATTATTCAGGTTTGATATAGGAACCTTTTCCCTGTATTACTTTGTCATTGTGGTGTTGGCTTCTTCTTGGGGTCAACGATTAGCTTGGTTTTTTTATCTTCAAGTATCATGTCTATGCTGCGCTCTGCTATGTTTGGCGTCTTTTATTTTCAGTTTTTGTGGCACTTACAACGGTTTTGAGATGAATTTTTGAGGAGGTCATTATCAGAACATGTACATGTTGGGGATCCTTGTGTTGTATGTGCATTATATGATATTTTTTCTGCTCTGAACACTGCTTCAGTGGATGCACGAAGAGAAGCTGTTGCCCCTACTTCCCTGAGAATTGCTCTTAGCAACCTCTATCCGGATAGTAATTTCTTCCAAGAAGTAAATCTTTGAGCTGTTTCTGGTGGTTCTTCTTTATTATTTATTTATTTTTTCAAGTTTTCCTTCTATCTGCAATTTTATTAGCCTGTAAAACCTACAGGAGTGAATGCTTGTGGTGTCTGATTACTCCTCAGTTCATAAAATTTGGCTAACACAAATGCTACATACAGGGACAGATGAATGATGCTTCTGAAGTGTTGGGTGTCATATTTGATTGCCTTCATCGATTATTTACCTCAACCATGTGTACTTCTGATGCTGAATCATTAGATAGACAAATGGTGCTTGCGTTGCACATTCTCTTTTTGGCATGGACACATTTGAAAGAATGAATTGTTACAATTGTGGTCTGGAGTCCAGACATTTAAGTACACTTCATTCTTCCACAATATCAATGCCAGTGCTCTGCGTACTATGAAGGTATATTATGTTTGAGTCTGGTCAAATATCCAAGTTTATTACATAAATGATAGTGGAAACTCTTATCCTCTTAACCAAAAATGTGGTTGTCTGCAGATACCTTTCAGGTTATGTGTCCAGAAAGCTCTTTGGATGAGCTTCTGAACCTTGTTGAGATGAATCACCAATTAGCTTGTGATCCTGAAGCTGGTGGCTGTGGAAAGCTTAGCTACATCCATCATATTCTGTCGACCACACCACATGTTTTCACAACAGGTATTTATCTTCTTTTTTTTTGTTTTTTTCAGTCTTTTGCCTAAATGCAAGAGTGAATTGGATGTCGAAAGAACTACTTTTTTGTTCATTGTCGATATTGCAGAAGATCTAAATTACCTCTTTGCCTATGCATGTTTCAGTTTTGGGTTGGCAGAATACCTGTGAACATGTTGATGACATAACGGGCACATTGACAGCCTTATCTACAGAGATGGATATCAGTGTCCTTTATCGTGGTCTTGATCTAAAAAATAGGTACTGTTTGGTCTCAGTGGTATGCATCTTTGGATTATGTTTTGGTGATTATGAGCGAACTTGTATCTGAAAACTGGATTAGTTGTCCTATCATTAGTGGTCCCAACTATTGTTATTTTTTTGGAAAAGTTTGATCATTTGCTTATTTTTGCATCCTTTAACATTTCAATATAATCAGATAAGAGGTTCCTTAGACTTGCATACAAATATGTGGTACGTGCAGATGTGCAAGGCAAAGGTCCATTAAATTGTGCTTACTTTTCTCTGTTTCAGAGGATCTTATGCTGGTCAAGAGTCTTGCTTTCCTTGGTTTAGAACTAGCATTAGATTTTCTGCTTCCCTTTTCCCCTAAATCATTGCTTTTCTTCTGCCTGTACTCTGAAATTTATTTTAAAAAAAAAAAGAGACGCAGCTAAGGTAGGTATGCATACATGAGTTCATATATTTCCCATGAAAGTTTTGATGGCTGTTGTTTGATCAGATGTCTAAAAGATGTTGAATTCCTTGTGATTCTCTTATTTTTCTAGGGAATTTTTGGTGTTTCTTCATTTCGTATCAAGTGAGACTTGGTAACAACAATTAAGCTTTATATTACAAGATGAATTTTGCGTTTTTGTCTTGGTTGGTCATTTATTTTGAATAATTCACTTGGTTGGAGTTATGAAAGAATTCATGAAGAAGCTTTTGAACCTTGCATGATATTTATAGCTATTTGATTGAACAGTTAGTTAGAAGGTTTACATGGTTTAAGCATTCTACTCAAGCTTCACAATAGGTTACTGAATATTGTTCAAATTGATGACATAAGCTGTGTCGTGGTTAATTATCATTTGTAACTCTTTTACTTTTATGCTGGATGTCAAATACAACTAGAGGTGGTAATATGGATAAATGGTTCATAATTGGTTTTGACTTAATGGATGGTGGATGAAATTTATCCAATCCATTTAGATTAAATGGATCTAAATGGATTAAATAAAAACCAATTATCCATTTATAATCCATTTAAATATTTTGGTTCCTTTTTTTTTTTTGTATTACCATTTCTTGTAATATGAAGATATTTTTTTATGTACTTGTAAATTTTAGGTGTTGAAAATGACAAAAATCAATAAATGACAAAAATAATTGGAACTAACCATGAAGATTGTTGTACAAATAGCCATATGGTAATTAATGGGGGATTAATGGGGACTGAATCACATCATAATCAAAGAAGGGAGGTCTATATAATTTATATTTTATATAATTTTATTTTAAACAAGGGATAATAGACATTTTATACTAATAAATAATATATATATATTATATTATATATATATATATATATATACACGTGTGTGTGTATGAAGTTCGATTAAGTTCGATAAACTTTCAAACTTCACATGCTAGGCCCAAACTAAATCCGCCAAGCAGTTTGAGCTATTCAAACTCAAGTTTGAACTCCATGAACATGAGTACTACTAGTGTTTCGTTTTCTTTTTCTTGATAAACAAAAGTACTAATTAATACTATATAAGAGCTCTACAATTCCACGACGTGATATTTGTAAAACAGCAATGTTGATTTCTGCTTCCCTTGCGTGATCATTTACGAATCAACGTTGCAACATTTTTGTTCCAACACAGGAGCAATGGTAAATCTGTTGCGCTAGAGTTAACTCTTCCATGACTGTCGAATATGAGGATTGTCCTGTGATTTTCGTAGACTACGGCCTCTGCAAGGAACTCACAAAAGTGAAATGTTGCCCACGTTGAACCACCACTAGAAAACACACGACAGGAAATGAAAAAAATGAAGGCGAGAACATCTTTCAAGTTGGAGGAGCGATGTTGATAATTTTGAATCTGTACGCGTATGGATAAGGAAGAATGAAGAAAGATAAACAAACCTTTGATTTGGGGGATTAATGGGGACTGAAAGTCCGTTTCTTTTATTTGGTTTTAAGTAAATGGATATATATGGTTTTTGTAGATAATCCATATAAATCCATTTAATTTAATGGTTTTACTTTGATGAACCATTTAAAACCAACACTATAAATGGATAATTCAAATTCATTTAATTATAGATTATATGAATGGATAAATGGATCTCAATGCAAATTGCCACCTCTAAATACAACATTGTCAAATCCCTAGAGAACATAAGAAAAAAATATTAAGAGATTTTGATTGAACAGTTAGAAGGTTTAAATGATTTGAGCATTCTACTTAAGCTTCACAAAAGTATGTTTACTAATATTACAGCTTGGTTATTTGTGGGCTAAAAATAGTTAAAACTCTTGAAACATCAGTTGTGCAGGTAAGTAATTTTTTCAAAGAAATAAGGGAAAAGCTATATGACCACAAAGCTGCACTTCATACATGATTAAAATAATTGTTCACTTTCTTGATTGTGGTTGAAAATTCCAGCCAAAATTCATAATTGATAATTACAAGGGCAAATTGGACACTTTGCAAATTGTCTGCTGCCTCTCCATCTGTGGCATCTTTTAATTTATCCTTGGCATTTTTCTAATTTTAGCAGTATTTTCTTTATTCTTTTTTAGCTGGCAGATATCTTACCTGATTCCATTTAAGATTATCTTAAGCCACCACCAAAACATCTACAATGACCCCAGAAGTTTATTTTGGTGGTGGTGTTGGTTTTTTTTTCTTTTTTTTTTTTGGAGGGGGTGGGGGTGGGGGTGGGGATGGCAAGGGTTCATATTTGTTGAAAAATAGAATACTAAGACTTCAAATATGATACATATTTTAATAAAACTTTGGAGTATAATTGTCAAAATAGAACTAATGTGAAGAAGGGAAGTTTTTTACAAAACCAAATGTTGCAAGAATATGAATGGCATTTATTCTTGGTAAGTTTTAAAAATACTATTGAGGGATTTGAGAGTTTACTATATTTCCAAATTCACAAGGGGTTATGAAGATCATATAAGAATAAATAGAATTTTTAAGTCTATGATTTCTGCAGGTAAATTACTGAATGGAGAGCACAAACTTGCTTGAATAATTTTGCATTAACTATGCTTCTGGTGAATGTCATTAGCCATAAGGATCAGTTGACTCCTGGGATTAAAAGGATTGCATTACCATCTGGTCCTATCCCAATTTTTAAGTTTTGGACCATTGATGCTTAATCCCCACTGAACATTATGCCTTGGATAAATAAATAATTTCTTGCCTGATTCCAGTTTAATTGTCTTTGATAACAAGACCACTGTTTGACTTATTTGTGGCCAATGACATATCAAGATCATAGGAGAACTGAAAGAAGTTACACATGGACGATGTGCTCATATATGTTGCTTGACATCAATTATCTGGTGGATTTTACTTTGAAAAGCAAACCATAGGAAATTAGACAATGCATTATTAATTCCTTAATAACTACTCTTACCTAATATCCAGAGAGCATTTGGTTGTTTTTTTTGGTGTTGTGGGGGGGGGGGGGGGGGTGGGAATCTGTGATATGTTTAGTTGCTCTCATTCAAGCCATCATTTTTTCCACTCCACTTGTTTGACATTAGATATATGTGTCCAGACCAACTTTAGATTAGTGTCTGTCACTTCAAAGGCTCTCACCATCAATATCCACCCTCCCCGGCGGGAGAGGGATGTTTCCCTTTCCCATACTCAGACACACTCTTAGCAAAGACAAATATGTCAACAGAGAAACCTTCCCATTAAAGGCTGTTCT